GGGTTGAGTGTCTCGAAAGCTTGGATTCAACAAGTTGCCATGTCAGGCCCTCCCTGGGGTGACGTGACTTCTTGGCCGAGATTCCGCAGGACCCTCCCTGGCGCCAGGAGAAAGGGAGCTGGGGGACTGTTGGCCCACTGAGTCTGGAAACCCGGCACCTGTCTGTCCTGGCCCTGGTTGGTGTTTTCATCAGCCTGGGCTTAGCGTTGTGCTGGCTCTCCAGGGAGATTTCTTAACAAAGGGAGCAAAGAAGTGGTGGGGTTCAGACCCCCAGGGAGCAGGGGAAGGGGATGCTTCTTGGCCAGGCCCTGAGCTTTCCCTGCCTTTCCTTTGCAGCGAATGCCACAATTCCACAGACAGAATAAAGGTCAGAGTTTGGGATGAAGACGATGATATTAAGTCACGAGTGAAGCAGCATTTCAAAAAAGAATCGGATGACTTTTTGGGACAAACTATCATCGATGTGAGAACTCTGAGTGGGGAAATGGATGTCTGGTACAACCTGGGTAGGTGATTCCTGTCTCTGAAAGGAGTCCAGCCCTTTTCCCACAGCACCCATAACATCCAGGCAGACATTTTTCCTGGAATCCTAGAGAGACGTGCTTTCCTCTGTCTCCAGAACCTGGAGTTTGCCTCAGGGCACCCTTCTTCTTTCTTCCCTTCCTAGTCTTTGCATCAGCCAACATGTCCCCTTTCTTCTTGTTTGCTAGATAAGCGCACTGATAAATCTGCTGTTTCTGGGGCCGTTCGACTGAAACTCAATGTTGAAATCAAAGGGGAAGAGACGGTCGCACCATATCACATGCAGTACACCTGCTTACATGAGGTACGTGGTAGAAATGGCTTTCCCTTCAGCACCTCTCCCCAGAGAGCCCTTGCAGTCATGTTCCATTAGGGTTTCCCTGTGTCTGAGAAGAGGAAGCTGGTGGAAATGAGCTGGGTTGATCTTCTGTGGATCATAGCCTCCGCCAGGTAGGTGGGGGCGCAGGAAGAAGCATCCCAGCTAAGTATGAAGAACTGCTGGGGTAGAGAATGGCCGAAGGTGGCATGGCTAAGTCTCACTGCAAGGCCAAGGGGCCAAAGGCTTCCCTTCCCGTCTCCTCGCAGCACCCCAGCAAAGCCCAGGGTGAGCAGAGGAGAGGGCTGTCTGTTAAAGGAGGGCCCCTTGTAGCCATTCTTGGCTGTCCCTGGTCTGGAATCGCGGTGCTATTGCCACCATAGGGCAGGAGTCTCAAGGATGGTTGGAAAACTGGAGTGCTTTCCCCCAAGGGCCTGGGATAAGGATCGAGGGCTCCAATCACCCTTCTAGCCCAGCAACAAAAGAAGAGATTAATGAAAATTTAGGCATAGTGTAGTTCTATCTCCTCTGATAGTAGCCAGAAATTGAAATTTCTGGTTGAAATGAAAAATGTGCTTCTTTCAGAGCCTCTTCCACTACTTGACTGAGGTGAAAGCAGGTGGAGCTGTTCAGATCCCAGCAGTCACAGGGGAGGATGCCTGGAAGGTGTACTTTGATGATGATGCTGCACAAGAGATTCTTGATGAATTTGCAATGCGCTATGGAGTTGAAAACATCTACCAAGCGATGACGCAAGTAGCATCCCATCTTCAGTCAGTGGCTTAGTGGATTGTCCCCAGGTTTTTCCTAAGGCTTCTCTTTAGCGAGAGCAGCTGACTATTTCAGTCTGCCTTAGGGAGCAGATCCTGGTTTGGAAACCCCTGCCAGAAAAGCGCATAGCCTGCCCAGTCACAGTGGGACAGTGTAGATGTGGAAATGCAGATTACTTTTTCCCGTGGTCTTCAGCTGCTCCCTTTAGGCCAAACTGTTTGGTATCCTCTCTTCCCAGTCGCCCAGTCCAGAGGACAATGCTACCCAAGCTAGGGCACGAGGCAGCATTCAAAGTGTGAAGGTGTGTGTGTGGGGGGGTTGTATCTGATGGAGTCTGCAGGAGTATGGCAAGCCTTGTCAGCTTCTCATTGTGGCAAGGCCGTAATGCTGTCAGCTGGAGAGATCAGGAGGAAGCTTGTGCTGAGAACATCCACTTGACAGGAAGATGTTCAGAGAGGGAAGCGGGCATCTACTAACCCTTCCAAGCCTAGAAAAATCTCTCAGGGAAGATATCCTGCTCCTCCTTCATGTGTATTGGCCAATGTTCCCTAGCTTGAGCAAGACCATTTACAGAGCTCTCTGTACTTTTATGGAGTGAATGAGGCTGTTCACATTTAGAAGCAAACAAGAAGGCAGCATTGAAATTCTAGTTCATCATTCTCATGTTCTTCAAGAAAATGAAATAGAAACAGTTGAGGTTTCTTGATGGTTCTCAACATGTAGGTATTCATGATGTCCACACATTGTTGGAATTTCAGGGAGACCAGCAAGGCAAAGAAATCTGCCTGCCTGCCTCCCTTTTGAGAAATGTGTTTTGAGTCTTGACACACTAAATTATTTTATTTCAGTGCTGAAGCACTGCTTCTGAGTGACACCTTTTTAGCTGTGCCCAGGAGAAAGATAAAGCTCTTTTTAAAGGTTTTATCTCTTAAAATCCATTTTATTTATTATACTAATGAATTTCTACAATGCAGCCAAACCCTTCCAACTCAGCGCTTCCACCAAGGGCATTGGCTACCTGCAGGAGGCAGAACAGAGTTTAGGATGTTGGTGCCGGGGCCGCATTCAAAGTATTTGATCCGAGATGAGAAAGAGACACACACGCTGGCCCCTGCTGTGCTTGTGAGTGGATTTCTCTTGGATGCTCTGTGACTGAAAGGCAGCCTTAGGCAGACCTGCTGCTCTGGGGGATATGGCTGAGCCGACACGGAGCACAGTGTGGGTCTGCAGCCTGCGGCAGCCTGCTCAAAGACCCTCTGGCAAGTTCTACTCAGAGAATGATAGGCCTTGGTCCAAAGCCCTGCAGGGGAGGATTTCCAAGAGCCAGGAGAAAGAACGAAACCGGACAGCTCCAACAGAAAGCTGTGCTTCGCAGGCCTAGGGTGCTTAAGCCCTTTGGTCTGGCTGCTAAGAGATACCTGGCTGGCACCTCTGGATAGCAGCCCTCTCTTTGGTTTGTCTTTCAGGCACTTCTCTTGCCTGTCTTCCAAATACATGTGCCCTGGGGTTCCAGCTGCTATGAGCACTTTGCTAGCCAACATCAATGCTTTTTATGCTCACACCACAGCCACCACCAGTGTCTCTGCTTCTGATCGATTTGCTGCCACTAACTTTGGGGTAAGTGTGATTTTCCTCTACTGCTCCTCACATTCAATATTCCAGTTTATGAATACAGGAAAGTTTCTTTTCTCCCTAAGCTCTAACAGTAGTTAAAAACTCATAGAAAACAGTCATAAGTTTTTCATCCATGAGAATAAAACAAATCCATTAAAATACATCATTTTAGGATCAATTCAGTTAACCCTAAAAGATTCAGTCCTGTTTCCTGAAAGAGTTTATCCTGGTCTTAGGAATGCCCCTTCTAGTGCCTTGTAGAAGTGCTATGATAAAGCTATAATTTTATATATCGTCTCTTTGAGGGACAAATGCTTTTCCTTTGGTGGCATTTATGTATTTTAGAAAGCATTTTTCTTTTTGCAATGTGACTTTCTCTTCTTTCGCCCCTGCTGAATATGACAGAAGCCCGCCTTTCCAGCAAGATGAGGGCAGAGTGAGAAACCCCTCCCCCCACCTTAGAGTCAGGCAACATTAGGGAAAGACGTGGCTTTGGGAGCTCAGCAGTCAGAGGGAATACTTGCTGGTCCTACGATTGATCAACCACTTTATCAATCAATAGAATACAATAAATTAGTTAACAGCTTTGGGTCATGGAGAAACCACCATGGCACTAAGTTAAACTTAGGGAAATAAACATTGATTATTCTCACAGTCTCTAAGGAAATATATGCCGTTCCAAAATCCTTAGCCTTGCTCACTGCAATGGGTAATATGTGTGACTATAAAGACTTTGCAAATACTGATTCATAGAGATTTGATTCAAAAGTGATTTGTGTCTTGAGATCTAACCAGATGGATCTATTGGGAGAAATGGCTTTAATATCACCCCGCTTGAATTGGTTCAATTATCAAATTGGTTCACCAATGCAAATCGAAAAACATGTTCCAAGTCAGATGATGCCTGATTCACATCTTACTATTAAAATTATCTTAATTATTAAAAAGTTTAGCATAAGAGCATAGACTTCCTAGAAATCATGATGTCATGGCAACTCTGTGAAAATACAACCTCTAGATTTCAGTAGGACAGAAATTAACTCTTGTAGCTGATGCAGAAGCTTCTTGAAATGCTCTTCCTTCTTCGCAGTCCATCAGGTTGGCCATGGCACAGTCCCCTTTATCTCAGAAACAGTTGGCAGGCAGCCCCCTCCCCCGAGGTTAGTCCCCTCAGAGGCTGGCTTTCATGGCTTTATCCATTGCTTGAGATGGCACAGTTTGCTTCCTTTCTGGCTGATCACCCAAGACCATGCGGGAACAAGCTGGTCGAGAATGAGCAAGTGACCGGACGGGCACAAAAGAGTAGAACGGTTTCTTCTTGGGTTCGATTGTTGTGCCTGCCCAGGACCCCCAGGCCAAGTCCTGCTCATAGACTGTCCCTCTATTGAGATCCCCTGATCAGGAATGCATTCTCTCGGCTTCTTACCTTCTCTAGCATGGCAGCAGACAGGGGTGTGCTGAGTGCTGAAGAGGCACTTTTCATCTGAAGGGCAACCTTTTAACCAAAGCCCAAAGGCAGCTGTGACTTTAGGAAACACTTACTTCAGCCTCACCATTGGGTGGGGAAAATATGATGCATCCCTCTGAGCTTTCCTGGGGACCTGCTGCTGCTCCCGACCTTGACTACTGACTCAGGATTTTGTTTCTCCAACCACGGTCTTAACCAACTACAGCCAGCAGACTTAGTTTCCACAAAAGAGGCTGGCATAGCAAGGAAGATGGCACTTGCCAGGGGAATTCGGGCGGGTGGTCACATCTATTGTTTCCCAGGGTGGCTCCTCTTGGGGTTAGCAGGATAGAGCACGCCCTCCTGGGGGCTCCTAATCAGTGGACCACCACTATAGCCCTCTCTCCAGCTGGTCCTGACAGCTCCGTGTGTTTACCATGCAGAGAGAAAAGTTCATCAAACTCCTGGATCAGCTGCACAATTCCTTGAGGATTGATCTCTCTAAATACAGGGTAGGTACTCTTTCCTTCTTCCAAAGCATGTGAGTGTTTCTGCCTAGAGGGCTGCAGCCTCTTCCCACTATCTGGAGAACCAGCCGTTTCGATCGAAGCCCAACTCAGGCAGAGGGCAGCCCTGCGATGGAGTAGCTGGTGGGCCAAGTCACACTGGCTGTCAGCAGCCGGTCTTCCACTCTGCAGCTGCTGTAAAGCACCAGTTTGGCATCCGAGCGGCCTTGAATTCTTAGCTCTTCGTTTCCCTCTCTTCAGGGAGAAAGCAGAAAGTTAGTTATGGGGAGGAAGGTGATGTGGGGGGGGGCAGTCTAATTCAGCTCAGTCTGACTCACTCATGTGGGACGTATGGGGGCACTGGAAGCTACGCCCCTCCTTTCATGGGAAGGTTGCAGTGTTGGGCTAAAGCCTTGATTAGCTCTGCCAGCTGAGAAGGAGGGGAACTCTGGGGCACTGGATTGGGATGTCTCTGGTGTGGGTGGAACCTAGGGCAGTTCTTCCATCCCACTGTAGATAGGCAAGGTGGGCTTCTGCTGCTGGCTAAAGGGTCTGTCTGTCTGCCTGGACCCCTCCTCAGCTGCCTGCCATGCAGACTTTTGTGTTTCTTGATTCTGCTCACCTACAGGACAATTTTCCTGCCAGCAGTCCGGAGAGGCTTCAGGATCTAAAATCAACTGTCGATCTCCTAACAAGCATTGCATTTTTTCGCCTGAAAGTAAGTTCAGCTCCCTCCCAGATGCTTACATATCAGAATCTAAATCCGGGATTTTTCCAGAATTTTGTTTCTGTTGGCTTTAAACTTTGAATAAAGCCAGTGGAAGGGAAGGGAACCATATCCTTGCAGCTAGAGACCTCCCACATCTGGTAAGTGGCCCAAACTGTAATGGCTGCCAAGAGTGCAGAAGCCTGTAAGCCCATTCTTGCCTCCCTGCCCAGGTTCTAGAGCTGCCAAGTCCCCCTCGAGCAAGCACCGTCGTGAAGGACTGTGTCCGGGCCTGCTTGGATTCCACGTACAGATATATTTTTGATAACTGCCACGACCTGTATGCTCAGTTAATGGACCAGGTGAGTGCCTTCTCCTCACTGCTTCTGCTCAAGGAGTCTCAGATGCACTTAAAGGGAGGGTGAGTCCTGTCCTACCTTTACAGCAGCTTTGAAGACCATGAAAAACAGGAGATTGGCAACTAAATTGCCCAAGAGTGGGGGCAGGGTTTCTCCTGGGGTCCTGCTTAATCCATTGGATTCTAATAGACTTGGTGGTTCTTTACTATTAGCTTGTTTGGCAACTCTCAGCCTGGCACTCTGACAAACACTCTGCCATCAATAAACACATAGACATAAACAAAATCTACATGCAAGGGAGATGGGCGGTCAAGAAATATGAATACATGCTGTACAAAAGAGACAACTAAGAAGCCAAAAATGAACAAAAACCCCCAAACCTTCAATACCTAGATGAGCATAGCTTAACACCAAGATTCACTTCAGACCAGTAGTCAAGAAATAAACAAAACCCCAATTAAGTTAACAGCCCAACTAGAGAACCACCAACACAAACAGCGCAAGCCACTACAATATACACTGAGAGCCTACCAGCACTGATGATGTTTCGTAGTGTGGGTTGGGAAACATCTGCAAGAAAACCACAAGCTCAGAAAGCGCCAACAAGCCCTTGAGAAGTGCTGGGAAAGGCACATAGAAAGAGAAGCAAGGTGGGTGGACGGTGGCAGGGGGTGTGCCATTAGGCGACCTGAAGAATCAGGTTGGGGAAAGACCATCTTGGAGACATTCTATCGATGTGGTTGCTAAGAGGCAAGGTGGCACATAACTAGCCAGGAACAGCCCTGTAACAAGCACAGAGGCCAGCTGGGTGACGAGAACTCTGCCTCAAGAAAGGACGTTTCTGAGCCGACACAAAGTGCTTGTGCAGAAATTCTTTTAGAGATCTTCTTTTGGGGTGTCGAGGTGGAGGAAGAGGAGGAGGAGGAGGAGGAGGAGGAGGAGGAAGAGTTGCCAAGAATAGCAATCCTGGAAAGTCTTTCCCTGCAGGGCTTTTGTTCCAATATAGCATTTTCCTCATTTTGGCCAACAGGGGAAGAAGCAAGATATTCCTCGGGAGGAACAGGGTCCAACGATTAAGAATTTGGATTTCTGGACGCAGCTCATTACCCTGATGATCACCATCATTGATGAAGACGGAGCTACCTATACTCCTGTCCTGAACCAGTAAGGCGAGAAAGGCCAACATTCTTCAGCTAAGATCCCTGAACTCCCTTCCAATTGCCTCTGACTTCATGTTGTAAGTGAGGCGTTTCCAGTGTATTGGAACATACTCCAGTGTAATGGGGGTCCCTCAGAATACCTACCCTTGCATCCTCCCAAGGGGAGGATTGCATCAGTTCCCTTGGCAACAGTTCTGCTCCTTTATTGTTACGTGATTGCCTCCTTCATGGTTGCCAGGGGGGCCTTGGAGTCACTTTTAGGCACACACACACACACACACACACACCGCTTTGGCACTGCCACACATCCCTGGTTCTTCCTCTCTGCCTGGGTTGACTTAAGCATCAAGGAGCCAGAAAGGGCTGCTCTGCTGATTGCGCCCTGCTTGGCTTTTTGCAGGTTCCCTCAGGAGCTGAACATGGGCAAAATCAGCACAGAGGTCATGTGGGTCCTCTTTGCACAGGATATGAAGTTTGCTCTGGAAGGTAAGGGAAGCAGCCGTGATCAGGCAGGTTGCAACTTCAGGGTGTGCATGTTGGGGCAGGAGCAGAGGCAATTCCACTCAGCCCCAATTACATCCATTTCTGGAGAGAGTCTTTGAAGATGCTTGTCTCCAAAAACAATACATGTAACAGGAGGTGGAAGGAGGTGATAGGAAACCAGACAGTGTGGTCAGTATTAGGTTTCAGGTGAAGCAAAATGCCCACCTAAGAAATGTATCTTCCATGGCTGGCAATAGATCTGGTTAGGAGAAGAGAGGTTGAACTCAACTTGGGTTTCCAAAAACCAGATAGAATTTGTATTCAAGTTTATTTGCCGTACTTGACAAGAACTTTGGACAGCAGAGAGATGAAGGGCAGCTTGGTCACAGTCTACTCAAAAGGAGGTTGCATCGAGCACTTCTGAAAGCAAAATGTAGAATCCTTGGCTAGCTCTCGGTCTTCATCAAGTGCCGCTCCTGGCGAGCCAATGGACACCCTTGGGGAAGAGGAATACCGTGAACATTCTGTTGCCTTGGGCAGTGTATCACTTACTCAGGCTATTAAATTAAGCAGTTGCCAGTTGTGGAAGTCCAGTATGACTTATTTTTCTGGAGCCAAAATGTGTGCCAGGAGACCATAATCTTATTTATGGCTGCAGCTTTATTAAATCTTTATATTGTCTTGTGTCCATTACAGAGCATGAAAAGCACAGGTTATGCAAGAGCACAGACTATATGAATTTACACTTCAAAGTGAAATGGTTTTATAATGAATATGTGCAAGAGCTCCCCTCATTCAGAGACACGGTGCCTGAATACTCTCTGTAAGTGAGGTGGGGGTGGGGGTGGCACGGGGAAAGGGAGGGCTGGATTGAGCTTTCATTTCCAAATTGAATGCAGACTACTTTCAATCCTTGTCCAGCTCAGCCTTGAATCTGGAACCCCTAAAAGCTGATGTGCATTTAAAACTCAAAGAAGCCCAACCCCTTTCATTGACTCCTTTCTTCCCACAAAGATGCCATGGAGAAATCATGGTTGATTTTTCCATCATTGCGCAGAAGCGAAGGTAGTTTAGAGAGATTCTCCAAGGGAAGAGGGCAGCAGATCAGATGATCAATCCAAATTCTCATTGTTGTAGGAGACAGAAGGGAGATTCCTGGCCTTCACTTCTGCACAGCATTTCCTTTTTCAGACCATTTCCCCCCAAAATGTAAGGTGCAGTTTCTTGCTATAACCATTTATAAAAAAAGTGAAATGGCCACTAAACTAACCTGATTTGTACCCCTATTTGCAAAAGACAGGTTTCTTATCTAGGTGCCGTCATGGTGGAAAGGGAAAAGAGATAAAGTGCACCCATTTACATTGGCACAATCCATTTTACTCTGAATGTACAGTCTTAATGTGAATTTAGTGGAATATGGTTTTAAGACCAAAGACTGTCTGGAAAACCCACCCCACGTGTGTGTCCACTCCTAGGTGGTTTGAGCCATTTGTCATGCAGTGGCTTGACGAAAATGAGGATGTCTCCATGGAATTCCTCCACGGCGCATTGGGAAGAGACAAGAAAGATGGGGTGAGCAGCATGAAGAAGTGAAGGCCAAAACCCCCACCACCCTAACCCCTGCTAGAGGTTGCCAGCCCCTTTCCCATAAAACAAGAGCAGGGAGCTAGAACCATCAGGAACCGTGGCCTGATCCCCAAAAGAGGGAAGGGAGCTGCTGTTGTATCAGCCAGTGTCCCTGTACAGGAGGATCCCTTGAGTGGTCACCGCATTGCAGCCTCTCTAAGCGATAGACTTTGGGGGGGGATTCCCAAGGCCCTCTTTCTTCAGATCCAGTCCTGCAGGGTTGTGACAGTGCGACAGTGCAGTCATATCCTTGAGAAGACGCTGCTTACCCCAGGCTTCTGCACAGCATGTGTTGTTTCTTCTTGTCCCTGCAGTTCCAGCCCACATCAGACCACGCTCTCTTCTCTTGCTCAGTGGTAGATGTCTTCACACAACTCAACCAGAGCTTTGAGATCATAAAGAAGCTGGAATGTCCTAATCCTGCAGCACTTTCTCATCTCATGAGAAAATTTGCAAAGGTGGGTGTTCTTGTGTTCTATTGTTGCCTTGTGGGGGAGCCTGAGCTACATGTGAGAGCTGATCACAACAGAATCAAATGGATGTCCTGCCTTGAGACTTTTTTGCTTTTGTCCCATCAAAGGGTACCTCTTCTTTCTAGCTCTGTGCCATAGCAAAATAAATCTCAAGGAAAAAGAATGTTCTCTAAGCTAACTGTGATCTGTCTAGAAAACTAGGAATTCACCCATTACATAAAGAGTGCTTGGGGAATTCCAGAGAAGAAGTCAAAGATACCAGCTAGATAGAACTCCCATTAAGAACTCCCAGCAGCAGGGTAATTTCTCTGGATCCGTCCAGGCACAGAACACCATTGTCTTTTTAATGTGGTTTCCATTGAATCCAAGTTGTTCCATTGGAAGAGAAATAAGATAACCAGAATACAAGAGCAAACAGGGTCAGGAATCCAGAATCCAGGAGCCTCTGTGGCGCAGTGGTTAAAGTGCAGTACTGCAAGCTACTTCTGCTGCAACCAGCTGCCTACAATTTGGCAGTTCAAATCCCACCAGGCTCAAGGTTGACTCAGCCTTACATCCTTCTGAGGTGGGTAAAATGTGGACCCAAATTGCTGGGGACAAGAGGCTGACTCTGTAAACCACTTGGGCTGTAAAGCACTGTGAAACAGTATATGAGTCTAAGTGCAGTTGCTATTTAGCTTTGTTCCCTCCAACTCCAAGAGTGGGCCAGATGGTGATGTATTTTAGAATAGTAGCGCTGTACTGCAGTAACCTGTTTCTTTTGTTCTAGATAATCCACAAAGTGCTTACTCAGTATGCTGCAGTTATAACAAAGGATTTCAGTTCTTACTGTGATAAGGAAAATGTGGTGAGAAAAATTTGATTACTACTTTTTCAAATTTAATACTGTTTTGTAACCATTGTACGATCAATAGGGAACTGAAGAGCACAAGGGGAATGGGTGGAGGTAAATTATCTGCTCTCCTTTGTGGCATGGTGATCCTATCAGAAGTGCTCTGCAGATCACTTCCTTGGTATTTTGAGTTCTCTTTTGTTTTACTGATCAGTAAAAGCAGTTTTGCTGGCTAAGGGAGCAACCAGGGGCCCTTTACAACACCCAGCCTAAGCCAGACCTAGCCTTGCCATAGCAATGATCATCCTGCGGAAGATGCCATCTCCTTCCTTTCCAGAGCCTTTGGCAACTGGCTGACCAAAGGTATTGTCCAGGCACTGTGCAGCTTGAGGCTGCTGATCAGCTGATGAGGAGTCCACAACTCCTGGGCATGGGAATCCTTTCTCCCCAAAATAAAAGTTAGCCAATCTGTTGAAGGCACCTCCTCCCAAAGCTTAGTGGAAACACTACCATGAAGTCCTCATCAAGACAGAAGTGATGCTAAATACAAAAGCAGCAGTAAACAATTTGAGTCTGGAGAAGCCAACTGAGATTAATCTGAGGCCAATTGTAGGAGGGGGGATGGTGTTGCCAGAAAAGCAAGGTCCAATGGATGTGAAGGAGGCCAAAGGACCCAGGTTTTCCAAAAGACTGACAAGGAATTAGCGAGTGGTACAGCCCATCCTCCAGCCATGTTCCAGGAAGTCTTGATTCCTGACTCTTCCTTTCTTGGCCTGATGTTTCATGGCAGTCTCCTAATTTTAGGACTGGGCACTTGGCCAAGACCTGCACATTCTCACTTTTTCTCCAACACAGCATTTGTCACTGGCTACATCAGCAGACACAGCTGCCTGGTGGGTGGAGAGCCAGATGATCTTCCCTACCAGTCTTCTGATTCTGGGGAATCCATGACGTGCAGCAGTATGATGGGTCCAGAGAAAGGATGGGTTGTTTTTCAGTACCCAAACTTGTTTTCCTACAGTGGACAGAAGGCATCAACGTGGTTGCCATGATTGGCAGAATAATCCCTAGAAAAATAGAGAGCATCCCTTCTTCCCAGGTGTAATACTGGTTTTGTCATGGTGATGGAGAACATCCCTTTGATCATCTTCCTCTCTATTTTTCCTCTTGAATTTCATTTTGGAAGTCCTTCTGCTTTTCAACCCCATCCCTGGAAGGAAGGGACAAGGGAAGATACCTAGCTTTCAGGATACCTACCCTCCAGCATAGAAAAATAACCATAATGATACTTCTTCTTAGCTCACAGTCAAAGAGGCAAGCTCAGCGGCATGGAACCAGAATTATGTGTCTGGTGGTGGAAATCGCCAGTGAGAGAAAGATGGCACTGAAGCCGAGCTGATCACTTGGGAGGGGAAAGGGGGGCAGGCTTTGCTGCTGGGAATGGCTTGGCCGAATAAGGTGCGAAGAACAGGTGAGCTCCTTGCCACCACACACCTCTTCCTTCCAGCGGCTCATTCAGCCGAGTGGCTTACAAACTTCCAGGTTGTCTTTGAGGACTACTCAATCAGATGTTTTACTCCTTTCACCACCTTTTGTGATCTCTTGCCCAGTCAGTTCTCTCCCAGCAGCTAAGACAACTTTCGTCCTTGTGGTCTCCAGCCCTGCATCTTGATGAACAACATTCAGCAGCTGAGAGTACAACTTGAGAAGATGTTTGAAGCCATGGGTGGGAAAGAGGTGAGTGTCGTCTGCCACCTTCAACTGAACATTGAACTCTTCCCAAGCATTGGATGGCTTAGAAGAGAAAGGGGGGCAGCTCGGCCATAGAAAGGGCCTTGGGGCTGGCCAGTGACTGACAGGTGTTGAGTAGGCCTGGCCCTAAGTCTTTTTGGGTTCCACACCTGTGGATCTGTAGGCATGGGGAGAGCACCCGCATTGACTGGGCTGAGGCCAGGGTCTTTTTCTCTTCCTCCAACAGGAGGGGAGCCTGTTTTGGCTCAGCAGCCGTAGGAGGCCACAGGCAGCTTCTCCCCATTTATTTCTTCTGGAAAGACGTCAGGCTTCTTTGTCATGAGGGCTAGGCAGTTTGAGGGCGCCCTCATTGTTAGTGTTTCTATTTTGAGGAGTGAGGGGCAAAGTGGCACCATTTTGCCTTTTCAAGTCCCCCAAATGCAGAGAAGGACAGGTGCAGAGTACCGCAACGATGCCGCAAGAGCTCCCTGCCACCCCAGGCCAAAAGAGCTGGTCCTCTTTCCTGGGCAAAAGCGGAGAGAAAGATACGATGCCAGCCCAGACCTGCGCCCCATTCCCTGATTCTTCTGCCGCCACACCTTACCGTGGGGCAAACGAGGGAGATCCAACCAGTAAGCAAATTCACCCACCTGTCTAGGTTAGCCTTCTCTGGGCACCTTGCATGGAATTGATTTGTCCCCAGTCTTGCCAGTCATAGCTCGGGGCAGGGGAGTGGGCGTGCCCATGTTTGTCTGTAACGTGTCATCCTGTCTTTGTCTACTGCCTTTAATTTGCCATCCTTGAGAAGAAGCAAGAAGGCAAACACTTTTCCTATGAGGTTTGTGATGTTGTCATGTGTCCTGTTTCCAGCCACTGGTTTGGGGTGCAGAAGAGTTGCGCGGGGAGGTCTGTGGGTCTCTGTGTGGAAGGGGTGCCTGCAGAGATGTGCAGTCATCAGAAAGACACTCCTGGCTGCCCAGTCTGTGTGCTTATTTTCCCGTGGGCAGAAAAAGGGGTTCTGGGTGCAGAGGGTGAGGCAGTTGGCTTTCAAAACGATCTGGTGGAATTAGAAGCTGCAGGTTAATCGGAAGCTCTAATCGGACTTCAGTGGACTGACTCCTTCTGGAACTGACAGGCAAGGAGGAAAGAGCGGCTTCAGGCGGTGCAGACTAAGGCCCACAACGAGGGCGTGGGGAACAGCAGCAGATGTACACGTGCACAGGCTCCCTGCCATTCCCTTCCACACAAACACACACGGAGTGGCCTCCAGCGTGGTTTGCAACATTTCCGGGAGCGGGGCTACATTTGACCTTCTCCCCTCTACTGTGTCCAGGCGAGAGAGGATCAGCTCCCCAGTCTCCCCCAGCCTCACTAAAGGACTGCCGAACACAGCACCCCTTCTCCTTCCACTCAGGCTTAGGAGGGAGGAGGGGCCCTCAGCCCAAGCAGCGGGAGCTTCCTGGGAGAGCCTGGGGCAAGAAGCCGTTCTCCTGCAGCCACGGGTGCTGTGGGGGTGGGAGGGGTGTGTGGAGCTGCCTGATAGCTGGCTGGGCCACGTCCATTTCGGGGTTTAGTGGGGCTGTGAGGAGCCTGTTTGCCCATCTGGGCTGAAACAAGGGATTAAAGGGCCTCCACCATTTCAGTATGGTGAATCCAGTTCCTTGTGCTCCGCCTACCCCACCCCATGTAGCTCTAGGCAGCGTCCTCCGGTGTCCCATGGCACACAAAGAGGGCGCACCTGAAGGGGAACGCCAGCATCCGGGACAAAACTGGGGGCTCTCCAGGAAGTTGTTGGCACCCCCACCCCCAACTGCTGTGTATCAGTGAATTTGGTGAGGCAGAGGGTGAGGTCCCTGAGCCACTCTCTCGACACCCCCCCCCCAATCTCTGTGACGGCTCCAGGGGGCTTGCATGGTGTCCCCTCCCCTTCCCGAGGGCTCTCTACACTTGCCGAGAGGTGCTGCCTCTGTGGCGTGCCTTGTGCCCAAGAGATGGGGAGGAGGAGGAGGGTGGCACCAGGTGTGCCTGAGGCACTCCAGGTGCTGTCAAGCTCTGTTGGGGACAAAACCGGCACAGCCACAGCCTTTCTGGACTGTCACCAATAGCTTCCTCTCTGCAGTCCTTCCTCAAGAACTGGCATGGCCTCCAAGGGTTCTTGCACATGTTTCATTGCTGGGTGCTTGGCTTCTGTCCACCATTAATGCAAAACAGCGTGGAAACTCCCTCTTGTAATCCAACCAGCTCCAAAGGGTGGGATGGGGAGATGTGGGCTGCTCTGTGGAGCCCTTGGGTGAGGGAGCCCTGACTCAGCCGAGGGGTGACGCTTCCACACCTCGGAGCTGCCCCCAACGGGTCTGCTTCAGCTCCCAGGTGGCCCCACAGAAGGGGAGAGGCCGCCGCCCTTTGTGCCTTGAGAGGCCTTGGGATATTCCCCTTCTAGCCCATAAAGTGCTGGGTTCCACACTCGTTTTCCATTAATGCCGCCCAATGGATGGAGATTTTACCTCTTTCCCCACTGCCTGTTATGTCAGAGCATGGAGCCAAGAGGGGAGGAGGAGAGGCTAATCTCACCCCTGCCTTCTTTTCAGCTGGACCCCGAGGCCAGTGAGACCTTGAAAGAGCTGCAGACCAAGCTCAGCAGTGTCCTGGATGAGCTCGGCCTGGCTTACAGCACCAGGTAAGGACAGGTTCCTGTCCACGGGGCCCTCCTCCTCCTCCTGATCCCCAGCCACCATGCCTATTCCTTGAGCCCAGGAAAGGCCTGCAGAAAGGGCGGCACAGGGAACCATGGCTGGGTTTGTGTGCCTCTAAGGGGCCGAGGGCTTCTCTAAGGCAGGTGGAGCTTGGAGTTGAAAACAGCTTCTATTTGGTGCTGGCTGTACGATGAGCTTCAGTCTGGATAAATTTTAGATGATTTATAAGCAGCTTTTTGCATTCTGTGGTTTGCAGAATACATAACAACAAAATCAGTTGTTATGCGTTTATGTGGTACTGTTTCCAGTTTTAGTAACTTGATTGGTAAGGGATTTTCTTAAAAGTCAGATTATTCATATATTCCATGGACAATAATAGACTTCCAGATACACAACTGTTTCTTTGGCATCCATGGGAAGGGAAGGGGGGAATGAAATAGGTGGTGCTGGTAATAGTAATAGCAGTAGCAGCAGTATTAATAGTAGTAGTAGTAGTAGTAGCAGCAGTAGCAGTAGTAGTAGTAGTAATGGGAGGAAAAGGTGTGTCTGTTTTTCAAAGGGCTTTCAGTCCAAGTGGCCCTAGGAAACCAGGACCAAGGCAGCTTCCTCGCTCCCTCCGCCCCCACCTCCGTCCCAGGGTGACCCTGATGAGATCACCTGGCTTAGTTGGTGCAGCCAGAGGTGGGGAGGGGGAGGGAAGCAGCAGCAGGGACCCCAGCATGACAGGGAGGGTGGTGGGCAGCAGCAGGGGGCATCTGGATCCCCTCCCCTCTCCTCTCCTCTCCTAGTTTCCAGCTTCTCATTGAGGAATGTGTGACCCAAATGAGCCTGGAGTTAAATCGGATGAGAGGAGACGGAGGAACAGCAGGCAGCAACAGCGCCGTGCAGGCTGAGATTGTGCTGCGCCCCTTGATGGATTTCCTTGACAAAACGTAAGCACAGGAGGCCGGTGCCAGGGAACGGGCACGTTTGACAGATGGTGTCACAGCTGGGGAGAATGGGGGGGAGGGTGGGCACCAACGCTGAGCAATAAGCCTCTGCCCAGCACCCTTCTAATGCTGAAGCCTTCTGGACGAGACCTTCCTGCTCTTCCAACCCGCCCTTCATTGCTCCCTCTCCCCAACTCCCTCTGGCTCAGTTTGCGTGGCAGCTCCTCCTGGCTGTCCCTGCTCCCTTAGCCTTTCTATGAAGGGAAGGGTCCTCGGGGTAGAGGGAGACCCAGGCTCTCCTGCTGGGAAAAATGGCCCTCCCTCCCTCTCTCTGGGGCAGAGGATTGGACCCTGAGTCTCTGTCCTTCACAGTTCTTGGGGAGGGGGCTGGGGAACCATCTTGTTGTGGTTTGCCGGCAGCCGCTGCAGACAGCAGAGGTATCAAACAGTGAGGAAGAAAGGGGACCAGTCAGGGAGTCTGGAGTGGACTTGGACGAGGATCCTGCGTCTGATACAGAGATGGGGTCAGGACCATCTGGGAGTGGGGTGCTGACTCTGGAGCCTCTGGAGTCTGGCAGCAGCGAGGCAGAGGACCCAGGGGAGCCTGTTCCTAGTGCGCGTGTGTTCAGAGCTGCTAGAAGGCAAGAGCAGCTGAAGCAGAAGGGGCGACTCAGGAGTAAGGCTAGGAAGTGATTGCCCCTCCCATAAGGGATAAAAGTCAGACCTCAATGACGAAAGCTTTGCAGGAAGCAAAGCAGTTCAATAGATTCTGAGTCCTTGAAGCTCTGCATATTCTGGTTGGTTTTTTCTGGTACTGTTATAATTAATTTGGATACTCCTGTTTTTGGCAGCATTCCACAGCACTGACATGCGTGTGCTTATCTTGGGGAACTGTTTAAGTTTCGTTTTGGCTGTGAATGGAAATAATTCCCAGCATTGCATTAAAATAGGTTTTGCTTTTAAAATAACTTTGTGTTTAATTATGTTTGACGAAGCCTGGGTCAGAACACATCTGTGCTTTCCCTGAGAAGGCCTCATCTAGTGTGCTGCATCTGGGGCTCACGGGCCGGCAGATCCCCCCCGGCTGACATGGGCAAAATAGGCATTATGACACAAGCCCAGGAACCGTTTGTTTCTTTGCAGCTTAAGTACCTCAGCAAAAATCTGTGAGAAGACTGTTCTGAAGCGGCTTTTGAAAGAGCTCTGGAAGTTGGTCCTGAGCAGAATAGAAAGGCAGATTGTGCTCCCACCTCTGGCAGACCAAACGGTGAGTCTCCAACCCAACCCATGGGCAGCTCCTCCTAAATCCAGCTGTAAAAAACTGGCCTTACATACAAGGGAGGTGCTCAGGTGTTCACTCATTTGGAGGGCAGATGTTCCAAAGGTGAAGCTCCTTTTGCAAGGAGAAGTGGTGGGTACCCTTCTTGTTTTCTCTTTGGCATTTAAAGACCAGGGCTGGTAGTGGGTGGTGGTGGTGCAGAGCTGGCTCCTGTGGGGCTACTCCCTTCTTTTGGCCATTTGATGTGGAGGGGGAACCGCTACTGAGGAAACAGTCGGATTTGAGGGACTTGAACATGGCTCAAGAAAAGAACAAGATGCCTCGTTTGGCCTGGCCTCCCCTGCCCTATGCCTGGAGGTGAGGATGGCTTGGGAATTGTGCCTCACCATCCCCCCTTTGGCTTCTCCTCAGGGCCCTCCAATGATTCTCAGTGCAGCCAAAGATTTCAGCCAGCTGTCGAAGCTGAAGGTAAGCTGGGCTGGATGGAAGAGAGGGGCAAGAGCCAGTTTGGCCAGATGCCCTGGGGAACCCCAAAACGCAACAGGAGACAATGGCCTCCTTTGACCCTGTTCCCCAATAACTGTAGTTCAGAGATAGCTTGCACCTGATCGGGGGGGGGGGGGGGGGGGGGGGGGGCTGATGGCCCTGGCACAGCTTCCCCTCCCCCATCTTAGCCTGGGGAGCTTTTTCTCAGAGACTCAGAGAGGGAATGGTGATCTCTCTGGAGAAGCCTTTGATGAAAGAGGGAAGTGACCATCCCCTTGGAATATTCCAATGGCAAGAGGGCTTGTTGCAGGCATGAGGTGGAGGGTATGGTCGTTGCAGGAAGATGTCTCACCTCCAGTTCCTCAGTTGCTATTTTTTTTTTTTTTTGCAGGACCACGTCATCCGAGAAGAAGCAAAAAGCCTGACCCCGTGGCAGTGTGCAGTAATGGAAGTGGTTCTGGCCACCATCAAGGTAGAGTGGCAGGAGGGTGTGCCCAGTGGGTTGGGGTTAGGGGCAGAGCAGCAGTGGGCGGGGGGAAGGGGGAGAAGGGAGTCTGTCCCTCCATCTCTCCAGCCTCCTTGAACCTCCTGAGCCCTTCCAAGCACCAGCCCAGCAGGCTGCCATCCCTTGGACCTGGAACATGGGTTGACAGGGATTTGGAAAGGTTTAAAAAAGATTTTAAAATGCCATGAATTAGTTAGATTTCTCCTTTAGTAGCAAGTGGAGACTAAACTAACTTGGTCAGTTTAAATATACTCCAGCCCCAGCTGGAGGTGAGAAGGTCAGGACAATTGAGAAGCCTGGCAGAATAAAAAGAGGCCCCCCCTCCTCCTGTGGTTAAAAGGGAAAGAGATGAGGTCTTCAGTGAAGGAGAATCTCTTTTATGTTACCCAGTTTTCCTCAAGATTTTAAAAGCTGTTCTAACCCTTCATTTTGCATTATGTAATCCATTAAGTGGGAGAACATAGAATTGCCACAGGAGTTTGAAGATGGAGTAGGAATAGCAGTGAGAAGGGTAGGGAAAATTCAGTGCCTGTTCTTTTCTTTAGCAGAGAAATATGACAAATTGACAGCAATTTCAGAGGGTTACAAGGCAGCTTGCATAACAGCTTCTCCTTGTCATGGCCTTCTGCATTTATGCTTTTCATTGTGTGCCCTTTGTGGCTTTGATGGGTCCATGTTTGACACGGCTCAGTCAAGCACAAAGGGACCCGGTCCACAGGCCATGTGGCTTAGGGGAGGGGGGGAGGGGCAGTTGGGCTAGTGTGTGGAGCAAAAGGCTGAATCCAGCCAGTTCTAGTTGTAGGAAGTTATGTTTAATGCAGAACATCCGGGGATTGCTTATGGCTGAGCCATCATTCCTTGGTCAGCTGTTTCATACAAACAGGGACAAAAGCTTTAATGGAGAGATGAGCCTCCCTCAGATTGTTGTTGTTAGTTGCGAAGTTATGTCCGACCCATTGCTACCCCATGGACAACATTCCTCCAGGCCTTCCTGTCCTCTACCATCCTCTGGAGTCCATTTAAGCTCACGCTGACTGCTTCAGTGAAACTCCCTCAGATAGAGTCCTGCAAAAATGGGCTTTTCCATCTTTTTCACATCTTTCAGTTTGACCAGACAACACCTGGCTGAGTCAGGCATGGCATGTCAGCCAGGTGCTTCTGGCTGCAGGGGTCTGTCGTCTTCCAAAGTAACCTTTTGGCTTACCTCAGGTTAAGGTGATAACTGAGGAAAACTAGCTTCCTATGCCTAGTGCTTATTCCTCTGACCCTTGAGCCACACAAATCATCTTGGGAGGGCCCAAAAGCAGGTGGATGAATTCTTATCTCTTTGCCTTTGTTTAGCAATATTTTCATGCTGGAGGAAACGGGCTGAAAAAGAGCTTCCTGGAGAAAAGTCCAAACTTGCTGTCTCTCAAGTATGCCCTGAATTTGTACACACAGACGACAGATGTTCTGGTCAAGAAATTCATCAACAGCCAGGCTTCTCAAAGTAAGTGTGTTGGTGGCTGCACAAGCCCCTCCTTCGAGTTTCGTGGCCGGCAGCCCAAGGCTTTGAGCTTGGGAGGTGCGGGGGGAGGGGGCATGAGAGTGCTATGGAGTGCCTGGGTTCTTCCTGCTCACCGTTGGGTGCAGACTCAGCCTGGAGGGTTTGGCTTCGTCTGATCTGTCTTGTCCAGTCCAACAAGAAGGATCGAGAATGCTGTGGTAAAGTTTTCGGTTGCTCTAGGGCCAAATTGCTTATGCTTCCCCTCAGTTGGTTAAACAGATGGCTGCAATGTTAGCAGGTTAGATGCAAAGCTCCCACTGTTGTGGGGTGTGGTTTCATCTGTGAATGCCTTTTCCCCAGGACCCATCTGCTCCCTCTAGAGGCACATTCATCCACTTAGGTTACTGCCAAGAAACAAAGTCCCTGTTTTCCACTTGCATTAAGTTGGGAGATGTGGGAGAATATAGGTAGTCTTTCACTTACAAACACAATGGTGCCCAAAATCTCCATTGCTAAGCAAGCCAGTTGCTAAGTGAGTTGTGCCCCATTTTATGACCTCTTTGCCACAGTTAAGCAAATCACTGCAGTTGTTACTTGACTCACGCAATTGTTAAGTTGCTCTGGCTTCCCCCTTGCCATTTTCCATATTACTTGTGTCTTCCTCAGTCTTTTCCATCTCAGTTCATTTGTTCTCGGCTCCAAGCTCTTACTTTTTCAGGAGCCTCTGTGGAACTTACTTCACACAATGCCAACTTTGGTTGTAACCTAAGCCACACTTCTGGCACTGTCTGCAGGTCACCATCTTCTTTCTGATGCAGGTCAAACAAGAGATAACACAGTGGGGAAGATTAATCTCCAGGTGGATCTGGCGACGCACCCTGCAACTGGCGAGCATAAAGTCACTGTCAAAGGTATGGTTGGCAATGCCTCCTTGTCCCAAATCCAGCCCACCTCTGTGGAGAAGCAGGCTCCTTTAGGCAGTTGAAAAGGGCTCAAGAGGGATGGGGAAGGAAGGTGGGACTTCCCTTTTCCTTTGCTGGAACTCAGTTTTTGTTTTCTGATCGTTCAAAGCCAGGACCTGGTGGCTGGGAAGGCCTTTAAAAATGGCTGCTGGTCATTTGCTGCCAGCACAGAAGGGTCCATGTCTCAAGACAAGCTGCTTGGTCAGTCATATTGTTTGAATAAAGCAATTAGTTTAGGGCCGGTGTCATTTTGAACCACTGGCAGCTCATCCTCTCTGCCCCTCCTTTCTGGACCAGTACATGGAGTCAGATGAGGCGGAGAGGTTGAGCAGGTGGGTCCATAAGGCTGCCACAAGGTGAGCCGTGTCTGCCTGTGATCTCCATTGCTGTGTGCAGTTGTAGCCATCGAGGACCTCGTCTGGCAAACCAGCGCCACCTTCCGCCCCTTTGTGGAGGTCTGCATTCTGGGGCCCAGCCTGAGCAACAAGCGGAGGAAGCACGGCACCAAAAGCAGGAGCAACACCTGGTCCCCGAAGTATAACGAGACATTCCAGTTGTAAGTGGCTTTTGCTGCCTGTGTGGCGGAGGGGCTGGGGGAGGGGGTTCCTCTTTCTGAATCCCCCTCTCTCCCCTCTTCCTAGTCTCCTAAGCAGTGAAGAGCGGCCCAGTGCTTACGAGCTGCACCTCTCCGTGAAGGATTACTGCTTTGCGAGGGAAGACCGGCTCATCGGGGTGGCCGTGGTCCAGCTGCGGACCCTCCTGGTGGGCGGCGGCTGCAGCCCTGCATGGCACCCCCTGCTAAGAAGCATCTCTGTGGATGAGGCTGGGCTGACAATCCTGCAGATCCTTTCTCAGAGGACCAGCGACGAAGTTGCCAAGGAGTTTGTCCGTCTCAAGTTAGAAACACGGTCCACGGAAGAAACAGCCTGAAATTCCAGCAGGGAAATGCAAACTTCCAGTCCCAAGAACCTTGATCTGTCTTTTTGATGTCTGACTCATGCATGTGTGTGCAAGTCTGTGGGAATGTTTGACTCTGTTTCTGTGTTTGCCAGAACATAAATTCCTGTATTTGCAAGGTACGTCCAAGAGCTGTTAATCTTTTCTACATGTTCAGATTCTTGAGGAAAAAAATGGAACTGTTCCAATGAAGTGCCAAAACTGCAGCAAAGAGCAAAATTATGAACTGATTTTGTCTCATGACAGCCATTTCCTCATGGTGACTTCCTGTTTAACTGTCCTACAGCCCATGCAACCTCATGTTACTGCAGACCCATTTCTCCTGCATCATTTTGGACACTTGGCCTTATTTCCCTCCCATTTTATGCAAAGTCTTGCTTTTGAAATCCTTTTTCTACCATCTACAGGTGCAGTTACTTCAAGAAAGTGTTTGTAATTTTATAGTTGCTGATTTAAAGAAATGATTTTTGCATACAAACTTTTAAAAAGTGGAAATGTTTTATGCTGACCTTTCTTTCCCAGTCTTTCATACTTATCACTGTGAGGAAGAGCTGGCAGAGCAAGTTCTCAAGATGTCTAGTCACGTCTGTTACCAATTCTTTAATATCTTGAGGTACGTTTGTTCTCCAAAGCTATCAAAGTAATTCCATACTTTTATTAAGGAATAATTCTGTCTCTGGGTTTAGTGCTTTTTGGGTCTGGATGGGTCCCAAGTGACATCATCGTTCTCTGGCTAGGGCAGAGAAGAATGAGGATGTGCCTCAAAAGGATGCTGGTACCGGTAGTACCAGAAGATTCCCGGTGAATGAACTTCAATATGGTGTATAGTTTCCCAGGGTTGTGTTGTGTGAAATGGTGTTGGACTATACAGGGTTAATTAGGTGGAGCCTGCTGGTGAATGGTTTCCATCAAGAAGCAGTTTTGCTGTTAACATTTCTCACTCTGGCTGTTAGAGATTTTGTTTTTGATTCTTAGCTGAAATCTCAGTTAAGTGCTTTCTTGTTTTTATTTTCATAAAAGTTTCTACTTATGCAACATGCCTATATCCTGCACGGAGGCAAACATCCATGTGATGTAAATATATTTCATGAGAAATTGTAAAATAAAGGCAGAAGAAACTGCTCCTCCTTGTTCCTTATTGGCCCATCAACTTCTCCCTAAAGGTCCTGGAGTGACCTAATGAAGCTGCTTTAGGTCTTCTTCCCTTCCCCAAGACCAGAAGAGCCTTGGAATCACAACCAGGGGCTAGCCACAACAGGCTCCATGCAGAAAGGGCTCTCAAGCCTTGGAGGTTGGGTGCGGGGAAAATTGTACCAAGTCTTGGTGGAGAGACCAACCTTTCCTTACACACAGTTGCTTCCTCAGGAGGGGGGGGGGAGGGGAGGAGGAGAGGAGAGAGAAGGCAGGCTTTGCCTTTGGCAAACACTTTGTATTCCGGAGAATGTTCCTGGTGGGGGTGGGAGGCTGATTATAGACATGTGATGGACAAGGAGAGAGACGTGGACATCAGCCAAGGGAGGGGCTCTTGCATAGGGTGTACCATAGGGCCGTCTGAGTTGTCTAACCTTTTGTTCCGACCCTCCACCCCACCCCACCTCACCCCAAGGTAAATGGGCTCAGCTGAGTTTTAAACCAGACCTGTCATTCAGTGTCTCTCTGGCTGTTCAAGCCACACCGAACAAAAAGAAACAGTCAGCAGCAGCCTCATAGCAATTTGCAGTGATTGATAATAGTGTATTATTCTTTCACAGATTTATTGCTTACAGGAATTCTTTAATTATGAAGTTTCTTCTCACTTGATAAATGAAAGGAAAAATGGAAAGGAAAATTGCACCATCCCCACCAACCATTTAATCTCTTAAGGACAGTGAGTGAGAAAAGATGGTTAAATCACTAGCTATTCATCTGTTCTGGTTACATCAACCAGATGTAAGTTGGGAGACTATTTTTCAAAGTGTGCAAAAGAGGTCCCTACAGTAATGGAAGGGGGCTTATGTGCCAGAATAAAAAGTCCAAAAGGATGATTCAACCACCCAGAATCCTGGTGGGGAACAATGCAGTCCTGCAGCTGACTAAAAAAGGAAAGAACCACAAGAAACAAGCAAACAGAAGAAGCAGATTTACACCATTGCACTACACCCAGCAGTACCAAAGTATCGCAGGCTGAGACTAGACTTACAGTTTGGGAGCCTGGAGTTTATCTCTCCAGGATGCCGCAAATTTCATCCACTCCTTTGCTGATGAACTGGCCATATTTTATATATCGTTTTGGAGAATTTCTGGAGAACCTGAAGACACTGATGGTTCAAGGAAATGGCTCCTATTTTTAAAAATGGGACAAGCAGAATCTGGGAACTCAGTTATTTATACCTGGGAAGATTCTGAAGTAGAAATAATCAGGAATCAAACAAGTGTTGCCCAAGTAACTTTACCTCATTTGGTCAAGTAGCTTTCTTAGTAGATACCTGCAAAGCCTTTGAGAAAGCACTCTGTGTCATCCTGGTTAGCCAGCTGATTGTAGTGGATACAGCTCAGAGGGACGCTCTCTAGCTGGCTCCAAAAGTTTCTGTTCAGCATAATTGCTGGGGGGGGGGGGGGGAAGAAACCCTCACACCCTCATGACTAAAAGGAGCTGAAGTGGAGGCACAGCTGATCTTTTCAGCTCTCAGGAGATCTAATACTGCTGCAAATAATGTCTCTTCTGCGGGCAGTTGCTAGGAAGCCTCCAGCCCTGAGGGTGCCATCCAGATGGTATCCCAACCAATTCTGCACTAACATTTGTGCAGATACTGCATGGACATCTGCAATGCATCTTGAGCATGACGGCTTTAAGATTCTCCTAAAGGTCTCAAATCTCAGTATTCATTACCGTTATGAAACAAGCAGGTCTGTCAAGAAGAAAGACAAGACAGAACAGAAAGGCCAGGTTGAAAAAACAGGCCTTCCCAGGGAGAAGGATTACACCATGATTCACAGCACGTTTTTCTGCAAAGCAATTTCTGATGTTTTTAAATAAGAATATTTTAAATATAAATTTGATGTGAGAGATATAATAGATGGACAGATATAAATGCATGAATGAATAAAAATAATTAATTAGGATTTGCCATGACATGAGCACTGTTGTCCTGAGTTGTGAGCAACTTGGACATTAAATCCTAATTTGGAGAAGCGGGCTATATTTTGTCACTGCTTTGGGTATTTGTTCCTACCTATAAAGGTAGTCCTCAAATTACAACCACAATTGAGTCAAACGTTTGTGTTGCTACGTGAAGCATTTGTGAAGTGAGTTTGGCTCCATTTTACAACTTTTCTTGCCCCAGTTAAGTGAATCGTTGCATTTGTTACTAACATGGTTGTTAAGTAAATCTGGATGCCCCATTGACTTTGCTTGTCAGAAAGTTACCAAAGGTGATCATGTGACCCCAAGACACTGAAACGATCATAAATATGAACCAGTTGCCAAGCGTCTGAATTTTGATCAGGTGACCATGAGGATGCTGCAGTGCTCATGTAAAAAACAGATATGTCACCTTTTTCAGTGCTGTTGTAACTTCATCGTCACTAAGTGAACTGTTGAGGATTACCTGTACAAAAGTGGATCCTTAACAGATGTCTCCTGATCCCTTTTTCTCGTTTTGGGTTTGGGTTTTGAGAATAACAGAGAGCTGAAGCAGAACAGTTTGCTTTGCTTCATGCTGATTGTCTACTGCTCTCACCACCAAGAACAAAGACCAAAGCAGGAACTGTGATGAGTCTCCCAAAATAACCCAAAACCCAAAACATATATTAAAGTCCGGTAAGGCCTTCAACTTAACTTCACTGTTTTATTAGGCACAGTTAAAGTCACAAAAGTAAATAATGAGGCAAACAGAAAACCGAAACAAACCGCATTGATGAGAGTTCCGAAGCAAGCCAAGATAACTAATCATAAACTCCAGGAAAATAACCGAGAAAAGTCCATGGGAAGAACGCCAGCAAAGATAAACCTCTTTCCAGGTGAACACTAAATTGACACCTGCAAATTCTAACTGTGCAGTTGCAAACTTATATACGTAGCTCCCACCTACAAGCCACGAGGAGGATCATGGTAATCTCCTCTTTAGTAGACCTCGCTTTTCCCTGATCCTCTCCTCCCTCCGTGACCTAGGATGGATAGAGGATGGGCCTTGATCTTCCTCTGACTGCTCAGCCGACCTCTGCCCTTCCCCAGCCTCCTCCTCCACCTCTGGAGCCACACTCCCACTCCATTGGCTGTTCCTCCTCTTCCTCAGAGTCAGTCTCCACCAGGGGCATGACAGGAACCTTGACAGCTCGGCTTCTTTTTGCAGAATGCAGCTGAGTGGCAAGAGAAGCTGTCCTGGAATGCATTGTGCAAAAGCTCCTTTTATCCTCAGCAATCTTTGAAAGCTGGCTGAACCCCTCAGTTGAACCATTGGTCAAAGCTTGTTTCCGCCACCGCAATCCCTGGCAACTTTGGTAGGAGAGAGAAATAAAGCCAGGGGATACCTCCGCTCCTTACTATGCCCAATACACCAACAAGGTTGGCACCATTTTCTGGCAGAAAGAGATGGCCGGTGCAGGCAGTACATTCTATTTGGGAGTACATCTACTGATTCAAAAACATTAATATTTGAGTGTGGTTTGATATCCAAGTTGCTCAGCCATGACTGGGAAGAAGAGATCACCAGACTGACAGATAGAAAGTTGGAAAGGCAGGGCCCTGCTCTATTTCAAAGGGAAACAAATCCATGGCTTGCAGGATGGAGATAATGAGTCTCATACAAAATTAAATTTTAATTTAATACTATATAAAACGGCTTCTTGACCTCCCCGGGGTTTAGAGCAAACCTAGAGACATATGGCCTTCCATTTAAGCATTTGCTAAAAACTGTTACTGCTGATGGGAATCAGGGCCAGCTGGGCGTCTTCCATTCTAGGTGTTATGATCAGGGAAGTGGCTGCCACTTCAGGCTTGACAAGGCATCGGCAGTGAAAGGGGTGACTTCCCTTCTGCTGCTGCTTAGCAGACTGAAATGATCTCTCCACCTCCTGAAGGCGCCTTTCTCTTGGGCTGTTGATTGCCCTGGAAAGGTGATTGGGAGAACGGGCGTCTGGGTGGTAGGAGAGGGACTTGAAAGAATTTAGGAAGATGTGTGTTCTCGGCTAACTTTTGTTCTGCCATAATGGAAATCAAGTTCCTCTGATAAACAGGGCTCAACAGCTTTGCCAAACAATCCCCTTTGCTACCAAAGTAGCAGATATAAGAGTTTCAACTAGCCTACGAATAAAATTAGCTATCCAAAGTAATATGCCACTGAGAGAAGACTAAGGTGGTAGATCCAAGGGTAAATGGCTGCACCTTTCCTGCCTTGATTTTCCAAGCTATTGCTACCACCGCAAAAGGCACTCTGTGTGAATTTTCCTGCACCTCCTCATCATTAATAAGTGTTGCAATATACAACTGTTATAATAAATGGACGCTGAATGTTGCAG